TAACCACAAAATCCAATAACATTTACATCAACGAATCTCACAGACCAACATTTCCTTGACATCAGTAAACGTAACAACAAAACTAGAAGTAAAAAAAGCAAATTCAAATCCAACTCACATCACATCTGGGTTGTTCGCTGTAGTTGTCAATTAAAACATACAATCGAAAATAGACATCAAAATAGTCGGTAAAGTATGGCTTTCATACATGGTTGTCTTCTCTCGCCATCAGTCAGCTATCTATGTCAGAGAAACTGGCCAAGCTGGCACACAAAATAGACTTTCTATCAGATGTGAGAGGACAAGAAGATGTCGATAAAGAGGATGAAGAGAAATCGCTTGTCACATTTCAAACATCTCTGTGGCCTTCGGATTCTGTCAGAGAAAACTTGAGGTAATATTCTCCAGGGTGATCAATCAGTGGAAATCAAAGATCAGAAAAGCAATCCATCAATGAATATCAGTCAATAAAATTAGTATTGGTTGATGATCAGTTGGCAGTCTGTTTATCGACTGCTATTGATTGGCATGTATATGTAACAAGTTGCATCTGGAAGGAGTACATTCTATTGTGCTGTAAATTATGTTATATACAGTAATGTATGTTTTAAATGTATGTTATCAAATGCATGAGTAGTTGGATATGGAGGTATGTGAATGTTTTGTGCTTGTCATAGTAATTGTATATCCATGGTAATTATACATGCTTCAGTGTAAAGAAATTCTGACTAATCTGATTTTACATATCCCACAGGAAGTCATTAAGGTATCATGGTAGGTGGATTTTTCCGAAAAATGCGAAAAATCTTTTTTTGGCTGTTCAAATTGAGAAGACTGAAATAAATATTTTGCAAAAAGAATGGGGGAAAGGACTTTTTTATTTTTTAAGTTAAAGCAAAAAAAACTATTTTTGAATATTATTAAGCCCTTATAGCGTTGACACCTCTAATTAAAATTCACCGTCAGTTGTCACAAGTAACGCGAATTGCGATGTGATATTTCATTTGTGCACGGGAACTTTTCTTGATCTGGTTGTTTCATCGCAAGTTGGCTTTCGTTCTTGTCAAATTTTCTTTATGTCAGGACGAAAATTTCTTGCCCATTTTCGTCTTCGAAGAGGCCGAAGAGGCGAAAATCTGGTGGAACCCACAGGTTCAGCGTCGAACAAGATCTTTGGCTGTGAGCGACCGTAGGTCGCACTGTAACCAAGAGGAATGGTTGAAGGAACTCGAGGACACTAGTCCCGCCAATGAAGCTAAAGAACAAAATATAACAAGTGCTAGTCGCACGAAATTGTTGTAGAACGGACGCGATTCCGAAATTTCCACAACGAGAGAGTCA